TGTTTTCTCTTCTGAACCAGTACCTGACCTGACCACAAGAGGGCAGAAGAGTTCTTTTAAATCTCTGCTGCCTCATATTTACTGTATAATCTTCTTGAACAGAAGACAGTAACTCTTTTTGTTTTTGAAGACATTTTACTTTCCTTAAGAAAAGCTGAGTGTTAGATTTATAAATCCTTCATGGATAAACCTTTCTAAGAATAAAAGATTGTCCAAACTTACTTTCAATCCTTGTAATTTCAGTCATTTTTCAAACTATTCAGAACCGAAGGACTCTTTTGATTCAAATGTGAAATATCTTCAAAACACAAACACATACACATATTGTGTTTGTGTGTAGATGTGTTGTTGTTCTCTTTAAATAATGTCTCCTTCACTAAGACAAAAATGATTATGTTCTCAAGATAATAAAATGTAAATATCTTATCATAGATTAGATGTACAGCAGATGGGAGTTTAGGAGCCCCACATCACTAGTGCACAGATTCTGGTTCCAAAAATACAACGTAGTAGCTTCTGTAAACTGAGTACTGCATAAACTGAGTACTGTAAAAACGGAGTACTGTATAAACTCCAGTTTCATCAGATAATTTCTGTTTGATTCAGATAAGACTGAAAGACAGGGAGAAAGTCCTCTTGGGCACACTAAGAAAATATTTTGGAAAAAGGCGTGTATATGACTTTATTCTAAAAAATCCTATATATAATCCTACTGGCTGTAAGAAATGGAGGCTAGTGTTGACAAGTGATCATCTTTCTCATGTTGAACAGCTCGTTTTAATGTTTTTACTGCTCATGGCAGGAAAACGTTTTCTAAAACCAACCAAATGTTTGTTTTGTACAGGTTCCTCTAGTCAGGCGACATGTCTCTATGTCTTCATCCAATGACAGATGAGCTTTTAAATGTGGGTTCTGTCTGATCCCGCTGACTGAGCACAGCTGCACACCTTTGTCGTCACTTCCTGGTTCTGGCTGTGAGGGCTGGGGGGTTCTCAGGTTCCTCACCTGAGTCACAGTGACATCCTGCCTTGTTGCTGCAACTAAGGAACATGTTGCAAAACATCAATAGCCACAGAGTTGTTTTTAATAAATCCTAAGAACTCCAGCTGTTTTTGACACGTGAATTGTCCTCTGACAGAAAACATCTGAAGCGAAAAACAATAAAAAAAATTTAGTGGAAGAGATAATGTTTGTACAGAGCAGCTTTGTTGGTCTTTTTCACTCTAAATTGAACTGATACAATTTTAAACAGATTTAGAGATGTGGAAAATTTAGTAAACAAAAAACCCAGCTGGTCGAGGCAGACGGCCGCCTGCCCTGGTTCTGGTTCTGCTGGAGGTTCCTTCCTGTTAAAAAGGAGTTTTTCCTCCACTGTCACCAACGTGCTGCTCAGGATGGGAGACTGTGATGAAGTGACTCAAAACAATCTGCTGGCTTCCTTAGAGTCTTTTTCTTTATGTACAGTGCCCTGAGATAACATTTGCTGTGACTTAGGACTATATAAATAAACTGATGCCAAATACTTTATACAGTAGATAGGTAAACAGAGGTCAAAGGTCACTCATTTTAGGTGGTGATAATGTAAAAACACAACCACAGGAACCTGTTGTAATGAAGCTCTAAACAAGGGAAAACCACACAGGAAGACAGACAGGTTCACACATCAAGGTCACTTACTGACAAGCTAAATAAATGCTTCACTGATCCGCAAGTTAAAGATGTCAGCAGGTGTTCCAGACGCAGAGGAGAGAATCTGTTTGATGAGCTTCAACACTAGCCTGGTTTAAATCAGACCCCGTCCTTCACTTTGCTTCGTACAAGGGTCTGGACTTGATGCATAGAGAAGCGTTTCTTGCAGGAGGCCTGGCCTCTGCTGAAGTTTAAAATGATTGGATCAGTTGGCTGCSACGTATGTCGCTGTGAAGGAGGCTAAGCTAAGAAGCTAACCTGAAATTGCGTGTGCTGTAAACAACCCTACTGAGAGGAGAAATATACCGAGCCGAACGAGACGACTGTAAACGAGAGCTGCTGCTTTGTCAGACAAATTTATTTTAATTTGGAAACCTTATCAACACAGACTGGCTTCATTCACTTCCTCCACTGCCGTATGCTAAACTAACTAGCAGACACTGCGCAGAAAATCGATGTAGTTCAAAACTCCTCCTTCTGTTCTCTGATTGGCCCAGGTAAAATAAACTACAAGCAGACACTGTGCAGAAAATTGACGTTCTGTTCTCTGATTGGCCCGGCTAAAAATCTGCCAGCGAAATCCTTGTCAAAGGGAGAAATCCCAGATGGAGCAGAGAAGGGAAACTAGAATTGAGCGGAGCTGCATAGGAAGGCAAGGGCCAGGCTAGATCAACACAGAAACAAGCAGAAACACTGATGTTTTTCTTCTTCACATTATAAATAAATCTGACTCCCTCAAGTCAGAAAAGGAGCTAAAACAGGAGCAGATCATAGTGAGGTGGTACAGGTGCTACACTTCTCATGTGTGAGGGTCTCCTCTGGACACAAACACTGGACCATCATCATCCTCAAACGTGCTGAGATCTGAACTGGTGTTATCTGAGCCGGGTGATGTGGGCTGCAGCGTCCTTTGAGTCAGATTCAGAAAAGACAAACTAGTGATGAAGCGGTGTGGTGTGGGTGGGCTTCATGAAACCAAAGCAGCACATTTGGGTCGTCTTAAAGCTGTTTTCTCCTTCGCCCTCTCGGTTCGCTCTAGATGCCGGGAACAGCAGCCACGAGTCCAGGGTGGGCTCGGTCAGGGACAGAGAGAGGAAGGCTGTTCTTCCTCTGGTGGTCATCTCCACTCTGACTCTTCTTGGCCTGGTGGTCCTCATCGGTATCCTCATCTACTGGAGGTCAGTAGTGCTGTGATCTAAGACTTATAAAAAAAACATCTTTAGAAATCCAAGTGAAGACATGTTGTCACACAGCGTTAAACCCTTTAAGCAATATGTTGATCAGATTGTACATTTGTTTATCCGCCGTAGCTGAGATGTGATTTGATGTTCATGTTTTGCTCTTGGATGGTTGTTTTCTCCAAGATTGAGCAGTGCTAAAATGGTAATAATCTGAAGAGCAGGGCTGTAATCTGCAGTGGAGGATGTTCCTGTGGAGCAGTGTGAGCATCAGCTGCGTTCCTCCTGATTACTCTGCTTCTGTCCCGTAAAACAAGACAGAGCAATAGGTACAACAGAAAAGAAGATAAATACTGTAAAAAAAAGTCTTTATAACTGTGGTGTGTGTCCGGTGCCGGCCCCCAGGTGAGCAGACGTACCTGTATAAAGGATATGGAATATGAAGAGAAAGGGAAATATCTGAACAGGTACTAGAAGTCCTTGATTATGTGAGGAAATGTGTTTTTTCAGCTCAGCCTTCTTCCAGTGAAATAATCTCTGATGTTTATTTCTGCCTCAGAGAGCTCGGGTTCATGAGAGGTCGTCTCATCCAGTTAGAACCATGTCAGGGATTAACGCAGGATCTTTTTTCTCCTGGGTTTATCTGGAAACATGTTTTGGACTAAATCTAGGCTAACATCAAATCACATGCAAACAAAAGTGTTTTCCTGCGTCTGGCCGGCTTTGTTGTTTTGCTCTTTTTATTTTTTTTATGCTTTTCAGAGTTCAGAAACTCTCCGGTCTGTTCTGTAGCTGTAGAAAGTCAGAGTTGATTTATTTATTATTTGTTTCTGATGCAAAATAAATGAAATATTCGTGCATCGATACTGACATGTGTGCAGTAAATCCTGTACACACGTTGGCTGAAAAACTTGGGTTTTGGTGAAAGATTTTCAAATCAAGAGGGGCAGGAAGCTGGTTGCACAAGTTCGCCCACCCTGAAAGAAAAACTGCTATTTTCTAATTTATAGAAATGATTCTATCAGGAGCTGGACTTGGTTTCCTGAAGAGTTCCAGGTCTGTCAGACTGTCAGGATGTCTCTTTTGTCTTTAAACAGGTTTAGATCTGCAGGGTCAGCTTAGGGGAGTGTTTACTCAGAGGGTCCCACCTGCCACCCAATGGCTCTGCAGAGTTGGTAAATCCTTTAGGAAGTGCATGCTCAGTCTGGTAGGTGGATATAGGATGCTTATAATGGGGATAAATGTTTACATTATTTAGAAAAGTTCCTTCTAGTGACTGTTTACAGTTCACTGAGGTCAGACTTAGTTTCATTGTCTGGTTTAGATGTATATTTGAGTTATTAATATAGTGTTGGCCGCTCAGTTAGGGGGACTAGTTTCATTGTGGTAGTACTCTGTCATGGTACTGTGTTATGTGGGTGACCCATGATGCATTGCGGTTGGGTAGGGGGTGTGGTTTATTCTGGTTCAAGGAGGTACTATAGAACAGCTGGAGTGCTCAGAAACCAGGTGACCGTGTGATCGGCTGGTGAAGCTAACAGCTAACGCAAAACAGTCAAGAGTCTGGATTTCCCATTACTGTACATGTTGACAACAGAGCAGAAAAAAGGACTGACAATGTAGAAATCATTAAAACTATTAATAATAATATTAACACAATTATCATTAATAT